CCACATGGAAAAACTATACTAAGTACATATTAAAAAGAAAGCAGAACCTTGTCAGACCATGGTATGGGGGTTAAAGTGGCTATCTCCTACATGGCCATTTGCCTGGTTTGAGTTCTGGACACAGGACGTTGAGAAACAGATTCAGCTAGTGTGCTTGCAAGCTCAAGATCCCCAAAAGAGGGAGAAACAAAGGAGGGATTGCTGCCTGATCAATCCCCATAGAGTGGAGGCAGTGCTTCTCACTTGCCTACTCTTTGTCTTTCTCTTCAGTGAGTGCATACACTCTTTGGCAAAATTAAAACAAAACAAAACAAAACAAAAATCAGAAACAAAACAGAAGACTAAAATCTTACCTTGATACACATGAGGCTTTACGTAAAAGAAGGAAAAACAAAACTAAATTTGGTACCAAAACATATTATTAGGAAATATCTACAGTTCCTGATAAAACTTGTCAAAATACTAACCAATGAAAATATAACAATTTGTTATAAATAACAAACTCATGGGATTTCAAGTAAGAAAAGGTCAGGAAGAGATTCCTATTTAGGTGGGAATACTTTGTAAGCCATTTCTGATAAAAAGCATAGAGATAAATATCTTATTTTTGTTTATTTTCTATTAAAGGAACATCAGCCTATCTGATTTGCATAAGGGAAATGCAGATATCTCATAATTTTCTGCTAACTAGTAATTTACCTGAGTTTTTGATTTGGAAAACTCAGTATTTACAATAAAGGTTAGAAGTGGCTGTCTCACTTGATAAACAAAGTGAACAATTTACATTCTATCTACTTTAAGAACTATCAGACTGAGGATATCCCAATCAGAAGGAGAAGAGAAGATAGAGAAAATTAACCAACAATGGAAATAACAGAAAATTTTGCCTAATATCATGATTGGCTTCCTAATTATTTCTGGATAAAAAGTGCTTTCCAAACTCAAGCCCTTTCCAGAAGGCATCACAGAAATAGAACTAAAAAAATTCAGGCAGGCCCTCATCTTTCTACCATGTTAAGAAACATTTTCCTCACTCCCTAGAATGAATTCTTCTTTTGAAAGATTTAAGTGCTGATCAGGTACAGAGTCTAGACAATAGAGTCTTGTCGACATATCAGACTACCATGACAGCATCAAAAAGCCATTTAACAGAATGTTGTTATGAGAAAATGCCAACAGAAAATCAAGGATGTTCCTTGACTTTTGGAGCTTGCTCAGGACACAGTGAACTTCCTGGCCTCATGTCACCCCATCTGCAGACAGGGGTAAATGGGAAGATCAGTGGTTCATAAACTGTTTCATACACTCATCCCCCTCCTACACACCTTCCCTGTTGTTTTTTTTTCATGTGATTTGTCACCTATTGCAATCCAAAAATACATAGGGATGATATGGTAAGACAGTTTGAGCAGGAGGAACCACTTTCATATACCTTTTATCATCATATATTATAATTGTTCTCTTTTATTGTCAGTTACTGCTGTTTAATTCTTCTTATGTCTATTTTATACATTAAACTTTACCCAAAGGTATGTATGTACAGAAGGTTCCCAAGTTAGGGTAATTCTACTTAATACACTTTTTATCTTATGAGAGTGAAAAGTGATAAACTTTCAGAAGAAACCATACTTCCAGCATGCATACAAGTATTCTGTTTCTCACATTCAGTATAATATTCAATAAATTACATGAGAGTCAACATTTAATTCTGAAATCAATTTTTTGTCAGATGACTTTTGCCCAACTATGGTGCTTGTATGTTAGGTGTATTAAATTATTTCCGGTTATGATATATTCAGTGCGATGGACTTGGGGGCACATAAGCCCATCATAAGCCGAAAAACACATCTATAGAAAAATAATAGTGTGCATAGAACTGGGTGCTACCTCCAGTTTCAGGTGTCTCCTGGGGGATTGGGGAGCTTTTTAAATTATCCACTGCAGATGAAGGGGGAACAAGTGTATTTAGTATTTTTTTTTATTTAAAATATTTGTAATTTGCAGTGTTATTGAGATTATGTTGTTTTGATTACTGATTTGTTATTAAAAAGATTATTTTACAAGGTTAATTTCTACTTTTTTTTTTTTTTTGAGAGAGGTTTTTGCTATAGGGTGTGTGCGCTCACCAGACAGAGAGAGACATAGAGACAGAAAATGAGAAATCACCCCCCAGGGGGATGGTCACGCCGCAATCCCTTCTCCTCCATTCTCCTCTTGGGATCTTGGGCACGCACGCAGAAGTGCCTGGCGTGAGTTTTAAGCCACCGGGTTCGGGATGCAAACCGCGGTCGACTATGTGGGAGTCCAGCGACATAGCCATTACGCTAACTGCTGGCTCCCAAGGTTAATTTCTACTTTGATCATTAATTTTATACTTCAGAAAAAAAACAAATAAGAGAAGGAGACATTCTTCTGATGAAGCTTATATGGAACTAATATGCTGTAACTCCCAAATGCATTAGAAGAAGAATGATAAACTAAACATCAGTGACACTTCTTATATCACAGTACTGATGTCATAGGATAAGGAGTTGCCTGCAAATGAGAGGGCCAGACAGGGAGATACAGAGAACTATCACCTTCCAACGCAAAAGGTGAAGTCAGAATTATCAGTGAGAACAAATGCTGCCAAAAGGACAACCTACCTTCTCAATGACCAATTCATGGAGGCTCAGCATGGATAAGCATGGTATTTTAAAATGCCAGGAATGCTCAGCCTCAACAGGAGGAGGGGTTGCCACAACATGTGAGTTTACTTCCAAGAGTGCTGATAGTTTCTATAGCAGATACATGAAGGAACAAACAAACAGAAATATTCTGTTCTGCTTAAAAAGGCCTGTCCTCAAATGAAGCTATTTTATCAAAGTCTGACTGAAGTTAGCCACTGCCACTCGCAGTTGCAGAAAATAAATACACCTTAACATCTAGAGTGAGCAACAGAAAGCCTCATACAATCAGCCTAGTTACTTCAGGTCCTTTCACTCAAAAACAATGCCTACTTCTTACCCCAAACCTACAAGGCAAACCAAAAGCCAACAAAATGAAAATATTTGATCAGAGAAAACAAGCATTAGAATCATACTGAGGAGCCAGCTGGTGCTGTGATGGCTAGGGTGGCTGCATCTACTATGGACAACTGCATTCTTAGAGTCCAGGACCTGACAGCTTAAAAAACAAATAGGGCAGCCTGTCCAGAATCCTGAAAGGAAGGGTAAGGAAGGGATTGAGGCATGAGCATTCTCCATGTATGGCGCATTCTATCTTTGCTTCTCTCTCTTCTGTCACTATTTGGTGAATGCATATGCCTTCTAGCAAATTAAAAAAAATAAAATCAGACTCAGAAAGGGCAGAGATGATACAATTATCGGTCTGGGAATGTGTAACCTCTATGATTAATATAAAAAGGCCCAATCACAAAAATTGGACAATATGCAAGAAACAAAGAATATAAGCAAAGAGAAGGAAACACGGAAGCAGTCAAAGGAAAAGATGATAATGAAAAGCTAGCATGACATGACATGACAAACTCCTTTGGGGGATTCATCAATAAAGTCAATATAACTGAGGAAAGAATCAGTGAGCTTCAAAAAGGGTCAGTAGAAACTTCCTAAACTTAAGTACAAAAGTAAAATAAGAATTAAAGAAGAAAAAAGGGCCAGCCAGTGGCTGGTGG